TGTGTATCATTGACCAACGTGCAACAACGTGTCCCGTAGTAGTTCGTATGTAGATCCCCAAGCAAATCCAACCTGCACACATGCTGTTGGCCAGCCGTGTTTTATGGCTTTGAATTTGAATCCCTATATTTGAAGGAAGCATGACTCCTATCCTGACCCCTGGCTTTCTGGCTTCTTACCCTTTTTTTTTTTCATGAGTCTGGCCCCAGGAATATTAGAATTTACAAACTCTTCTGACCAGGCAGAAGTTCAGATTGTCCAATTGAGATCAGGGATCAGCCCACCTTCTGTAAAGGACCAGAGTAGATATTTTCACTTTGCAGGCTATGCAGTCTCTGCCTGCAGCTGGTCAACGCTGCTATTGTGGAAAAGCAACCACAGGTGATACAGAAACCAATGAGCAGAGCTGTTTGCAATAAAACTTTATTGGTGGATGTGGAAATTTAAGTTTCATTTTACTTTCTCCTGTCATGAAATCTTTTTTTTATATTACATTTTATTTTTCACTTTATCATTTTTATTTTAGATGAACTATTTACTTTTTTTTTCTAGCCTTTTGGTAAAAACAAAATACAATAGAACCTCCATTGCTGACCACTTCCCTACACTGACCACCTCTGTAAGTTTTTGTTTTTCTTTTTTTGAGAAAGAGTCTCACTATGTCACCCTGGGTAGAATGCCGTGGCGTCACAGCTCACAGCAACCTCAAAGTCTTGGGCTTAAGCGATTCTCTTGCCTCAGCCTCCCAAATAGCTGGGACTACAGGCACCCGCCACAATGCCTGGCTTGGCTTTTTTGTTGCAGTTGTTTAGCTGGCCCGGGCTAGGTTTGAGCCCACCACTCTCGGTTATATGAGTGGTGCCATAACTACTGTGCTACAGGCGCCAAGCCCTCCTTAAGTTTTTATAACTGGACAAGCATTCCATGTATGTATAAGAACAGTAGGCCTATTTCCTTATGTTGACCAGTTTGTTCTAGTCCCTTGGGTGGTCAATTTACAGAGGTTCTACTATAGAAGAATAATACAAACACTTCTCAGTTCATGGCCAGTTGGCAGTAGTTGTTAAACTCCAGTTTAGATCTTTGACCAAAAAAGTTCCTAAAGTTTTTTTCAAAAATCTCCGGGCTAGTGTACTTAGCAACTTGCTTCCATGCAAAACACTTTAGGGCGGAGGACCCCTAAGTCAATGACAGCTTCTGGATTGGAAGTGGTGAGGACCATCACATGCTCACCAAAGGAGCAGTCGAGGATGGAGCCATGAGCTGGATTGAAAGTGAATTCAACGGGAATGGCCCCTGGTTATGCTTGAAACAGATGGGAGTGGCAAACATAAAAACTTCACAGCTCTCCTGTACCTCCAGCTGATTCAGACTGCAGGATGGTTTTCCGTTGATGATCAGTTCTGTAAAGCCATCTTCCTAACACAGGGAGTATTTTTTCCAGTCCTAGCCCACAGCTGAACCATCTTCTGCGCCATTTTTCCCATGGTGGATACAGATCCCTCCAACTCGGTGAAACCCCTCTTTGTGTGACTCACTTGAAGGAAATGAGCACACATGCGAGTGAGTAGGCTAAACCGGGAAAACCACTTCCCATGAGTGGTTTTGTCCCAACAGGCACTGAGAAGATGCCGAGCCTGTGTCTTTCACTGTTTTCCTTCCCTCTCTTTCAGAGCAGTGGAGAGAGAGCTCCAAAAAGAAGACAGCAGAGAGTTGATTTGGTTTGGTTTTTGCAACTTATCACTTGAATACTGACCCCCTATTATGTTTAGAAGAACATTCCCGTCATTGCCACTTTATTGGAGTTAGAGTGGACTTGACTACAATCTGATTCTGAAATAGCCCCAAAGTCTTCTCCAGTAACCCAGTAACTTCTGAGCAGGTTTTGGTCAATATAGACTCTGTGTGTGTGTGTGTGTGTGTGTGTGTGTGTGTGTTTAGGGAGCTGTGTATTTAAAGTTTGGACATTTACCAAATGCTTAGCAGTATGCGTTGGACAAAGGTCATGCATGACATTATCCTTGCTCGAAGAAGCTTAGCCTTGTTGAGTTGTAATGATTTGCATTTTACCTTTCGCTCAAGGTTTGCTGAACTGGGTAAAAATGCTCTTATCCAATAAAAGTGGCAAAGTGGGCAGCGCCTGTGGCTCAGTGGGTGGCAGGTTCAAACCTGGCCCTGGCCAAACTACAACAAAAAAATAGCCAGGCGTTATGGCAGGTGTCTGTAGTCTCGGCTACTCGGGAGGCTGAGGCAAGAGAATCACCTAAGCCCGGGAGTTGGAGGTTGCTGTGAGCTGTCTGGCGCCACAGCACTCTACGGAGGGCAATAAAATGAGACTCTGTCTCTACCCAAAAAAAAGTGGCAAAAGTATAGTTTTTGCCTCCATGTCTTTGTTGAGTTTGGAGGGGGGAAGCTCTCTTTTTATTTTTTTATTTTTTTGCCCTCTATAGAAGTATCTAACCCCTATAGAGGGCATCAGTAACCCCTACCTCTCATACACCAAGGCCCAGCATTCATTGGTTTGCTATTGTCTTGGTCTGTCCCTCAGGTTGGAGCGCAGTGGCACAATCATAGCTCATAGTAGCCTCGAACTCCCGGGCTCAAGCCATCCTCCCACCTCATCCTCCCAAAGTGCTAGGGTTACAGGCATGACCCCCAGCTTGCTATTCCCTTTTGCTGACATAGCTTTTCAACCCAGAGCTCGGTAAGAATTTTTACCTAGACCTGTGCATAGAAAATCAGCTGCTTCAGCTCTGCTCCTCTCGCATTGGGTTTCCCTCAAGCACAAGTAGGTTGTACAGGGCGTTATGACTATTGCCCTGCTTAGAGAACAGCAAATAAAACCTCTGCAACCTATTGATTATCAACAAAGTGATAGAGTTGGTTGGCTTTCCTTTGTGTTACCATCATTTCTACATCTCTTCAGCACAGGTTAAAAGAAGCTAGGGGAAATAGAATGACTCAGACGTACCATGCTGGACAGCTCCCAACCTCTGCAGTTTCCCTCTGGGTTCCCGGAAGGCTGGGACAAGAGTGACAAAATGTTCACTTCTCACACCTACCAAAGAAGTGTCTGGAGAGTTCTGTGGAGACCAGGAGTCTGTGTCCTGTGTCTGTGAAGCAGCTGCTTTCAGCTGTGGCTGGAAAGGTGTGAAGAGTAGGCAGGCAGGCAGCTCCTGGGAGCCCGTGGTGGCTGCCACTTAGAAGAGGAACAAGCAGGGTTGTCATCCCAAACAGCTCGTCCACTTTTCTGTTTGTGTGTCCTCCCAACATGGACATGGGCCCTCCCCTTGCATCAGCTTGGGGTGGGCAGGGCAGCAGCAGGAGGTTCTTGATGGTGGGTTAATCACATCTGGCAGGCAGGCCTTAGCTGCATGTTAAGTGGATGCAGAGACAATAGTGTGAATCCAAGGAAGCCATGGAAACTGTCAAGTCCTTGTGGCCCACAGAGGCAGAACAGCCGAGTGGCCAAGAGCATGGGCCTGGGAGTTGGGTAGATAAGGTCCGCTCATGGCTCTGCTTTCCCTTTGCAGTTATGTGACCCTGAGTGAATCTTCCAGGCCTCTGTTTTCTCATCTGTAAAATGGGAGCTACCTTTGAGGTATTGTGTGAGAATTCAGTGAGAAAAGCTTGGAAAGCTCTTGGCTCTATGCCTGCACTTAGGTTATTATTTCATGAATTCTTTTATGAAGAATATGGAAGACATCAGAATTGTTTAGTCTGGAGAATAGAAGATTAAAGAAAGACATGATAGCTGTCTGCAGTATTTAAAGGATTATTATGTGGCTGAAGGAACAAACTTATTTTTAGTGTTAAGACAATATGACTTAAAATATGGCTTTTGCAGAAAGGCAGATTTCACATCAATAAAAGTGTTTATGGCAGAGATGCCAAGAACAATCAGGCTGTCTTGCCAGGTTGTGGGACTGCCTGTCTCTGGACTTTTTGCCGACAGATGCTGGGTGGTCCCAGTGCTCTGGAAGGCAGGGGGAAAAACACCTGCTCTGAGTAGAAGGTTGGGTGGACCAGATGCCAGTTGTCCTCCATCTCTATGATACCAGGAAGTTTTTTTTTTTTTTTTTTGAGACAGAGCCTCAAGCTGTCCCCCTGGGTAGAGTGCTGTGGCTTTACAGCTCACAGCAACCTCCAACTCCTGGGCTCAAGCGAGTCTCCTGCCTCAGCCTCCCAAGTAGCTGGGACCACAGGCGCCTGCCACAATGCCGGGCTATTTTTTGGTTGCAGCCGTCATTGTTGTTTTGGTGGGTCCGGGCTGGGGATTCGAACCGCCACCTTAGGTGTACGTGGCTGGCCCCTTAGCCGGTTGAGCTATAGGTGCCGAGCCAATACCAGGAATTTTTAAGGCCTTAGTCTTTGACTCCTGAGAGAATTCATGAGACCAGTATCCGTGCAGAATAAAACCAGAAAAAGTGATTTCCGAGGGACCTATTTGGTACAAGACAGCAAGGTCATTTGCTTAGAGAAGATGATTCCTAGCGACTTCCTCATTGTGGAAGTTTTCCCAGGCTGCCATAACAAAGAACCACAGACTGGGCAGCTTAAACAACAGACATTGGTGTCCTCGCAGCTCTGGAGGCTAGAAGAAGGTGTGGAAAGGGTTGGTTTCATGCTAAGGCCTCTCCCCGGCTTGCCAATGGCCACTATCACCATGTCTCTCTCAGTCTTTCCTAATCTTCACGTCTGTGTCCTAATCTCTTATAAGGACACCGGTCCCTGGATTAGGGCCCACTCTAAAGACCTCATTTAACTCTAATTACCTTTATAAAGGCCTCCTCTCCAAATACAGTCATATTCTCAGGTGCTGGGAGTTAGGGCTTCCACACGTGAATTGGGGGAGGAGGACACAATTCTGCCCATAACACTGATACTGCAACATTCCAGGGCTTTATCCCTGGAGTCGCAGGGCTCATTGACCCCGACCAGCCTTCCGAATTTTCTTCTGTGCTCTTTAAACGGCATCCTGTCTCTGTCTCGTCTCTTAGGTGAGCGGCCCTTTCCCTGCACATGGCCAGACTGCCTTAAAAAGTTCTCCCGCTCAGATGAGCTGACGCGCCACTACCGGACCCACACGGGGGAGAAGCAGTTCCGCTGCCCACTCTGCGAGAAGCGCTTCATGCGGAGCGACCACCTCACCAAGCACGCCCGGCGTCACACCGAGTTCCACCCCAGTATGATCAAGCGGTCGAAAAAGGCGCTGGCCAGCCCTTTGTGAGGTGCTAGCCGGGGGAGCCAGGGAGGGATGGACCCGGACAGGACAAAACTACTCCCAGGAAACAGACGGACACGTGGAAAGGACGCCCAGAAGAGGCACGCTGACAGCACAGGAGGTCACTGCTCTTTGGTCAATATTCTGATTTTCCTCTCTCCACATTGTTTTTAAAAAAGCACATTGTAGCCTACGATCAAAGTCAACACTTGGTCCCCTTGCAGAGGCAACTCTCTGAACCCGTCTCTGACTGTCGGAGGAAGGCAAAATGCCTTGGGGTTTTTCTTCCTTTTTTTTTTTTTCAGGGGTGGGTGGCGGGTGGGGGGAGAGGGGGAAAAGGCCACGACTGGGTAGAATTTTAAAGCTCCAACACTGGTGTACATACGTCCGACAGGGTGAGTCGACCTGTGGCCTCACGCAGTGATTCTGGGCCCTTTCTGCTTGCTGTCTCTCAGAATTGTTTTCTTACCTTTTAATGTAATGACGAGTGTGCTTCAGTTTGTTTAGCAAAACCACTCTCTTGAATCACGTTAACTTTTGAGATTAAAAAAGAAAAAACCGCCATAGCACAGCTGTCTTTATGCAAGAGCACATTACTCCAGCATGATCTGTCATCTAAAGACTTAAAGTTACTTATAGTCAATGGGTAAGCAGAGTCTGAATTTATACTAATCAAGACAAACCTTTGAAAGGTTACACTAATAAGTACAGAACTTTTAAACCTTGCTTTGTATGAACTGTCCTTGTTGAACATAAACTGCACTTTTATTTTCTAACGCAGAGGATGAATAAGTTAAATACATGCTTTGAGGATAGAAGCAGACACTCTGTCTGGCTCCAGATTATAATCTGCTTATTTTATAATATCCACGTTTCCCTAAGACGTCACGGCAGAGATGTGAGGGCAGAATCTACACAACAGATGCTGAAGGAGAAGGAGTGTTTAAATAATAATAATAATAATGATAAAAAGAACCAATGGAATTTTAACTCTATTAACTTTTCCAAATTTTCCTATCCATTTAGTTAACATCATCTTCTTGTACCATAATGTCACCACTGAAGGAAAGGGCTTTTGACATTGTTAGGTTTCATTCGAATGGGTGCCTAACAGTGACTAAATCCGGAAACACCTATTTTTTTGGGGAAAAAGGTGGGTCTCCTTCCCATGTTCCTACAAAACTCCCACTATCAGGTGCAAGAGTTATGTAGAAGGGAGCTGAAATAGGAAAAGAAAAATAGACCCCTGTAAGGAGCGAGTATCAAGGGAAAATGCCACGGTAACTGCAAAGGGGACTCCTCAGAATAGTCCCTTTTGGAGAACGTATGGAACACGATGAATGAAATCACATCGCTGTACCTTTTATGTCAGTATCCTCACCACTACATATCTTGTATCTAGGTGTCTACAATGGCTGAAACCACTACATCCATAATAGGCCATTTATCTGAAAACTTAATTTTGGTCTTTAAGTGGCCAGAAAACTGAACTGAGTTTTCATAGTTAAGAAAAAAAAATAAACCTCAAAGGAGGGGAGTCAGCAGTGATCATGGGGGAAATGTTTACATTTTTTTTTCCAGAAGTAACGCTTTCTGACGATTTTATCCGATATTTAAAACATGGAGCTATGGTGCCCTCTAGTTTATATATGTGCTGTAAAATGTGTTGTGTAAACATAGGGTGCCTATCTATTTCACCTGACACACTCATTTCCGATTCAGAATGAGCGTGGGCTCCTGCAGTGGGCACGGGTCACAGCTGACTCCGACTTCCAATACAACAGCCATCACTAGCACGGTGTTTTTTTCTTTTGTTTGTTTAACCAACATAGTTGTATTAGTAGTTCTATAAAGAGAACTGCTTTTAACATTAGGGACTGGGAGCAGTCCATGGGATAAAAAGGAAAGTGTTTTCTCACGAGAAAACATGTCAGGAAAAATAAAGAACACTTTCTACCTCTGTTTCAGATTTTTGAAACGCTTATTTTAAACCAAATTTTAATTTCTGTGTCCAAAATAAGTTTTAAGGACATCTGTTCTTCCATACGAAATAGGTTAGGCTGCCTGTTTCTTCCTGAGCTCATGGAACGGTTCTGTTTGTGATACTCTGCACGCTGCCTTTTGGTGAGTGAGGAGTTTGGGTTGCCTAGCAACTTTCTAACTTGGAAAAACTCATCCTTCCCTCACAGAGAGAAACGAAGGAAAACACAGCAAAGTTAGTGAAAGACAATCTTTATAGTTTCAGGAGTAAATCTATATGTGGCTTTTTGTCGAGCACTTAGATGGATGTGAACGCAGCAACTTGTTTAAAAAAACGATGCACAATTTACTTCCCAAAAAAGTTGCTACTTGCCTTTTCAAGTTGTTGACAAATACACATTTGATATTCTCTCTTATATGTTATAGTAATGTAACGTATAAACTCAAGGCTTTTTATTCTTTGTGATAAATCCTGTTTTAAAACGTCACAAAACAGGAACCAGCATTCTAATTAGATTTACTCTATCAAGATATGGTTCAACTAGGACTACTAGAGTTCATTGAACACTAAAACTATGAAGCAATTACTTTTTATATTAAAAAGACCATGGATTTAACTTGTGAAAATCCAAATGCAGGATAGTAATTTTTGTTTACTTTTTTAACCAAACTGAATTTTTGAAAGACTATTGCAGGTGTTTAAAAAGAAAGAGAAGTTGTTTTATCTAATATTGTAAGTAGTTGTCATATTCTGGAAAATTTAATAGTTTTAGAGTTAAGATATCTCCTCTCCTTGGTTAGGGAAGCAGAAAGCCCTTCACCATTGTGGAATGATGCCCTGGCTTTAAGGTCTAGCTCTCCATCATGCTTCTTTTGAGAATTCTATTTGGTAGTTATAATTACAGAAACTGATTAGTTTGTCAGTTTGCAGATAGATTTAGCACAGTACTCATCACTCTGGATAGATTGAGATGTTCTTTCACAACAGATGAATGATCTGTAACACTGTAAGATACTGATCTTTACAACTGTTTAATCAGTTTTATTTTTGTACAGTATTAGTGACCTAAGTTATTTTGCTGTCCTGTTTTTGTAAATCAAATGAAATTATAAAAGAGGATTCAGACAGTAGGTATTTTGTACATATGTATATATGTTGTCCAAATAAAAATAATAAATGATAAAGATTGAATTGTTCCAGCCATCATGTGTTCTAAAAGGAACGTATTTCACCATAATGAGAGTTACTTGTTTAAATGGTGCTCATGGGATTTTAGGATGAGCACAAAGAGGATTTCGCCCTGTATCTTTCCACAAGTGCAATATCTGTGCAGACTGGTGTGTATTTACTATTAAAATAACAGATGACCTCTGAGGAAGCCCATGGAGCAGAGGTCACTTGAAACCACTATATTATGCTGGAGGGAATATTTATATTTTGAGATAAATCACTTAAAGAGGTGTTTAGAGCTTTATGCACCTGTAGGGGGAGGTACTAGGAACTGGTTAGAGAATATTAAAGGTTCCCATTGTGCTCTTTTTTTTTTTTTTTTTTTTTTTTTTT